ATCACTCAGTGGTTAAGAGCACTTGCTGCTCATGTTGGAGAACCTGAGTTCAATTCCCAGCACCCAGGTGGTGGTTCATAACTATTTAAAACTCTAGTTCTGGGGAATCCAACACCCTTCTGAGTACCATGAGCATCAGACATGCATGTGGTGTGCATACATGAACATAAAATAAGTAAATTTAAAACAAAAACCCATGTCTTTTGGAGGGATACAAGTCTAAGCATACACCTGTAGTAATCTATTTTCCATGGTGACCTGGCACCCAAGGATCCAGATGAGCTAAGACAATTGTGGTAGAGTTAGGGGCAGATCTGGCACTGTCTATGGGGCTGGGCAGTTGTGAACTTTAAAAATAATTTTATTTATTATTATTGCTATTATTAACGTGTTGCTGTGGGTATATGCTGCATGTATGCAAGCGGCTCCAGAGGACAGAGAAGGTTATGGATACCCTGCAGCTGGAATTGCAGACAGTTAGGAGCTGGCCTGCATGGGTGCTGGGAACTGAACTTAGGGCGCTCTGAAGTAACAACATAAGCTCTTAGCTGTTAAGCCTCCTCTCCAGCGCCAGTGATGGACGTTAATGTGACAGCAGAACAGCTGAAGAACCTGGCTCAACAAGTCCCTGTTCATTCACTTAACAATGCTCTAATGGCTTCTTAAGTGCCAGGAAGTGGACAGGGCACAAGCAAATGGGATTCATTCAATCACAGGCATATGCTTTTAGCAGGGTGACTGGCAGGCTAGCCGAGAGATCGCACTGATACAGATCACACAGCGCATAGTTACAATTGTCCTCTAAGAGAATCAGTCATGGGATGGATTTTATTTTCTCCCTCCCTAACTCTTTACTTTACTATTTTTTCTTTATTTTATTTTGATAGACTTTGTTTTTTCAAGACACGGCTTCTCTGTGTAACCCTAGCTGTCTTAGAACTCACTCTGTAGACCAGGCTGACTTTGAACTCAGAGATTCACCTGTCTCTGCCCCTTGAGAGCTGGGGTTACAGGTGTGCACCACCATCACTGGGCAGACTTATTTATTTTTATTTTATGTATATGAGTGTTTTTCCTGTATGAAAATACAGCATGTGCATGTCTGCACCCATGAAGGCCAGAAGATGGTGCTGGATCCCCTGGAACTGGAGTTCAGGACAGTTGTGAGCTGCCGTGTGGGTGCCAGGTCTGCAAGAGCAGTACATTCTCTTACATGCTGAGCTATTTCTTCAGCCCCCCCTTTAAAAAAAACTTCTTTTGGGGTGGCCTTGAACTCACAGAGATCCGCCTGCCTCTGCCTCCCAGATGCTGAAATCCAAGACTTGTGGCACTACCACCTGGCCAATGTAGTAGGTTGCTGTTATCTGCTTGTGCATATACGTTACTATGTTTTTATTTACCCTCCTCACCACCACCTTTTTGCTTTTTTCTGAGACAGGGTCCTACCATATAGCCCAGATTAGTCTCATACTCACTGTGCAGCTTAAATTGGCTTTGAACTCTCCAACCTCCTTCTTCCGTCTCCTGAGAGCTGGCATTACCGATGCATAAACAAGATTGGTCATAAGTTATTTTTCTTTCTCTACCATATATTGGTTTGTTGTTGTGTTTTGTTTTTGTGTGATTTTTTTTGGTGGGGGGGCTGAAGTAATGCTGGATCATTCTGTGATGCTGACTGCCAGCCACACCTTGAGCCTAGACTGGGAGACGACACAACAGAACAATGAAAGTGAGCTGGCTGAATAAAAGCCTAAACGGAAGTCCACCACTCATCTGACCTTGTATCACACGCTTTTATGTTCTCAAATGGATTTTGGTTTTGTGACCCAAGTGTCACAGGGATGGAGGCAAGAACCCAGCTGGGGGAAACACTGTCCTCCAAAGAGCTACCACACCATCATCATCAGAAGCAGCATATTAGTGACCCTTCAGATTGTGCTTGTTGACACTCCCTCAAAGGAAGGGCTGGGTTTCATTACCAGATCTTTCACTTGAGATGCTATACCCTCTCTCCAGCATCTCTTTCCAGGGCATGTAGTCTGCTCCCAACTGCATGTGGTCTCATGGTCTCGGCAGGTGTTAGATTACAGAACATATAAGGTTAATTGGAGGGGGAACGCCACACGTGCAGCTCTGGAGAAGTTGTCATCCACAACAAGGGGAGACTTTTCAGTGGTGTGGCTACTTGGGCTCACTCACATCTCTGTAAGTAACCCCCCATCTGCCCATGTTCTATGAGTAAACCCAATAAACTAATTGGTTCTCCAAATTAGACTTGGGTGCACTCATCTCAATGGTCTTCGTTGGTACTCTATCTGGGATGAGTAGATGTGAGGTGGTTTGAAAGAAAATGATCCTCAAAGGGAGTGGCACAATTAGGAGGTGTGGCTTTGCTGAAGGAAGCATGTCACCATGGGGGCGGGCTTTGAGGTCTCTTTTGTTCAATGTGACAGTCAGTTGACTTCCTGTTGCCTGCAAGTAGGAGACCGCTTGTTTGTTCCCAGCTGCTCAGCCCCAAAAAAACCACATAGAAACTGTATTAATTAAATCAATTAAATCACTGCTTGGCCCATTAGCTCTAGCTTCTTACTGGCTAACTCTTACATCTTAATTTAATCCATTTCTATTAATCTATGTATTACACATTGTGGCTGTGGCTTACTGGATAAAGTTCCGTTCAGTGTCTGTCTCTGGAGGGGCTAAATGGTTTCTCTTTGACTCCGCCTTCTTTCTCCCCGCATTCAGTTTAGTTTTCCCCACCTAGCTCTACTCTACCCTATCAACAGGCCATGGCAATTTATTTATTAGCCAGTGATATTCACAGCATAAAAAGGGGAATCCCCACATGGTAGCACTCTTAGCTCCAGCACCACATCTTCCTGCATGTCACCATGCTCCCCATCATGATGATAATGGACTGAACCTCTGAGCTGCCCCAATTAAATGTTTTCTTTATAAAAGTTGCCAAGGTCATGGTGTCTTTTCACAGCAATAAAAACCCTAAGATAAGATGGTTGTTCCCATCTACCAGGGCAAATTTTCAAAACAGGCCAATGCTGGAAAGATGGAGGTCTCACAAGAGAGACTTCCTCTTTCTCTCACTTTACCACCAGTCCTCCCTGAAGCTGACACTATCTCTGAGGTGTTCTATCCATGCCCTCTCCTTAAGCCAGGGCTTCTCAAGTTCTCACTTCAGCCTCTGTGATGGGGAGGGAGGAGGTACAGAGACATTAGCTCTTCCTTTGGAAACTGCTCGAGACAGCAGGGATAGCGGATCAGTAAGGCAGAAATGGGTGTTCACGAATGTGTGCCAAGTGATGAGTTAAAACATTCATGAAAAGCCTGGGAATCAAACACGCTGGGTTTGGGTAGGGATGCAGGAAAGAAAGCCATGCGTGACTTGGTTTCCCTCAAGGGAGCGGGTTAACTTTGAAGCTAGAGGTAGCATGTCCTTCTTGCCCATCCCAGGATGTGACTCTAGGCTGGAAGGAGACTCACATGCTATCCAAAGAGCCTCCACAGCCTTGCCTTCCCGACAAACCTAGCAGACTCTGCTTGCTTAGTACTGGAATCAGGGTAGTCATCTAGACAAGTCTCCCATAGGCTTCTAGCATTCGAGACTTCTAAATCTTATCTTTAAATTTGGAAGCCTAGTAGTTCAGGGTACCTCTGTTTCTTCGATATTTGACTGTTTTATGAGACATTCTGTCCAGGCTGGCCTCAAATACTATGTGTAGCCAAGGATGACCTTGAACTTTTGACACTCCTGCCTCCACCTCCAGAGTTCTGGTGTTACAGGCATGTGCCACCATGGCAAGTGTATGTGGTACTGGGAGTAAAAAAGGAGACTTTATACATTTTATGCAAATACTCTACCAACTGAGTTACACCCCCAGCCCAGTTTTTATTCTTTCCATGTCTGTTGCTCCATCTCTGAAAGGGGTCAACAAACACATCCAAATCCCTACAGAGTCCTCAAGAACAAGAAACCAAGCCAGACAAGATGCACACCTGTAATCCCAGCACCTGGGAGGCTGGGACAGAAGGATCGGGTCCTGGGCAGCCTGCATTACATAGCAAGACCTTCTCTAAAAGTAAATAAGTCAGGGGGAGGGTGAAAGGCAATGAATTGGACAGTCTGTATGACAGGACTCGGTGATCCAAAGCACAGCAGAGATATTGGGCGGAGAGAAGAGGCCTCCCCAAGGAGCCCCTCCATCAGCGGCAGGAATCAGCCTCCTCACCAGCAGGATTTATTTCAGGGTTCTGCAAGCACAGTGACTTACAAATGTACTCTCTCCCATCTCCCTTCAGAGGTGCTGAGTTCCGCAGGGTGGCATCTGCTCTGAAGATTCTGAGCTACATGCTACACAGCTCCCCATTCCCAGCCCACAGCACACCCCCACCCCCATTGGCTTGGACTTGGGCAGAGAGGCATCCGAGGCCGTTATCTCTCAACACACAGCTGTGCAGGGCTGGAGGCAGCAGCTTATCAGGGAGCCTGCAGTGATTCACAGCCCAAGCTTCTCTGCTGAATAGTAATTTCTAGCAGTGGATTTGTGCTGTCTCTCTCCTCCCCCTCTCCCAAGGGTGTGCTGTCCTTTTGCGGAGAGAGGGCAGTGAAGGGGAGCTCCTACTCATGGGGCTTTGTGCCTGCCTTCTGGGTAAGGATAGCTACCGGGAGGAGGGTGCAAGGTTAGAACCTTAGCATGGTCTGCCAGCCTTGGCAGGCTGCCTCCTTCAGCACATCCGTGCTCTCCCTCCTTCCCCTCCCAGAAAAGCAGCAACACTGCTTCCTTTCTCTTTGTGGGGATGCAACAGGGACACAGACCCCCGCCCGCTCCACCATAAGTCCCTCCTGCGACATTTTGACACTGCCCAGTCTCTATGTCTGACCTTAAAGACTCCAAAGGCTAATAAGACTGAAGGCAAGCATGCCAAAGTGGTTTTTGCACAGGCGGGTGGGTAAGGGGAAAAAAAAACAATACAGGGGACAGAGCCATTTTCATGTTTGTTTTATTGAAAGCAAGACTCCAGCAGCAGGACTCAGGGGAGGAGGCAATGGAAAGTTCTGTCCTGGGTCCCTTCTCTGCCACCATGCAAAAGGGGGGATGCTAAGAGGAAGAAAAGCTAAAAAGGGGAATTGCCGGGGGGTGGGCAGAATAGGGTCCCAACATTTTCAGCTTGGCCACCCACAAGGAATCTGCTTCATAGCTTCTGCCCTCAATCAACAGCAAGGATGATTTCAAGATCCTCAACCCTCAGTCTTCATGCAAACTGGGCGCTTTTAAAGTCTAGGTCCCCAAGAAGGCTCAAGAGTCTCACTATCCACCATACTTCCCTCGAAAAGATCCTAGTATGGCCTACAAAAAGTGGGGGTGGAGTTCTGTGGCTCCTGGTAACACGTCCCACAAAGTTTCCTCGAACTTCAGGGATCCTCTTGCCATTCCTGAGCTCCATTTCCGGTTCCCTTGGGATCAGTGCTGTCAATCTTCTAGGAACACGGACCCCTTAAAACCCAGGTATGAAAGGTGCATGTGGATGTAGGAGTGTTGAGGATATAAGATCCAGTCGGTCTAGGTGGCTCAGAGCCGGGAGTTCTCAGGCAGTCGGGTCCTCATTCTCTGCCCCCGGCTCAGGCTGAGACCGCTTAGCGGTGCTTTCTCCAGCAGCAGATTCCCCCAGGCTCCTCTTGGACGTCGACACCGTAGGAGGGGACGAAGGACCTGGATTGAGGTTCGGAGGCTGGTAGCCAAGTTGTAGTGGATCCAGTGCGTCCTTGGAAAGTAGGATGGCCAGGCTCGGCACATTCTTAAGTACACTGAGACTGGCGGCCGGATCGTCAGGAGTCTGACCCCGCGTGGGCCCAGGCGGGAGGCTCTGCCACACCTCGCGTACGCTCCGGTAGCGCAGCCGCGTGACCTGGTGTAAGCCCGCCAGGCGGCGCTTGAGAATCTCGGCGCACGTGACGGTTTTGGTGGTGGCCCGGCCGCAGCCACTGAAGACGATGGCGCGCGTGGCTGGCTGCGCCATGCTGGCGGTGGCGAAGGCCAGTAGGTTGCGGATCTTGCTGCCCTCTTTGACACGCATGTGTACAGCACCAGGCGCCAGATCTGCGAAAGGGCCCGAGTTCGGGCTGCCACCCTCATCACCGTCCCCCGCCGGCGCCTCCTCCGAGCGCACCTTACGGAAGTTCTCCATGTGCCGTCGTCGCTGGGATCGCAGGTTTTGCCATGGGGTCGCCTTAAGCCCGGGACTGCATGGCCGCGGGTCGCGCCGGGCGACAAGCGGGAGATGGTGGGATGTCGGCACCGAAGGGAAGCTGTTCAGCCCAGACTTCTACTGGGTGGTGCAGCTCTACTCTGCGCCCTCAGCGCCTTGTGCTCCGCGCCTTTAGCCGAAGCTCCGCCTGGGAGCCGAAGAGGCCCCGCCCCTTGGTCCAGGCCCCGCCCCAACTCTGCGTGACTTGACCGAGTCGCAGCCCCGCCAGCCTTCGGGATCAAGCGCTGGTGCTGAGCGGCAGGGGTCAAGACACCAGCGATGATTTAGGAGGTGAAGTTCCCCGAAGTCACCACCAGTCCTCCCTGAATCAGCCCTCACCTAGGAACAACCTAAATAAAAATTATGCTTGAGGTACAAACGGCGATTCAAACCTGGCCCCCGAGTCTTGCAGGGTTCCAGCTCAAGGGCATCCCTAGACCCCACCTAGGTAAGAGATTTTCGGACCACCTCCTGGGGCCTCGCCCCTCCAACCTTCTAGAGACCCCCTGCCTCCCAGTATTCTTGCCTCAAGGACAGCCAGTGCTTGGTCAGCAAGGATGTGGGAGGCGTTGACTGCCTCTACTCGCTGAGCCTTTCCTGGGCTCGAACCGCCACGTCGCGGCATGATCCTTAGAGACCTAGGTTTCAGCCTCGCCCCTCTTGACCAGGCCTTCAGGCTCCCTCCCGGTACCCCCACACCCCTGAATTGCAGAAAGTGATGCGCTAGGCCAACCTAAAGTGAATGGGGAAGAGAACAGGAGACCATTTCCGACAAGACGCTTGTTCTTGTAGTCGTGCCTGAAAGTCTTGTACTAGAGCTGCACGCATTCTTATCTGCCTGGCTCAGTCCCTGATAACGCCGATTCCTCACTTCCAATTCCAGGTGGAATTTCTTGCCAGTCAGCCTTGGCTCATAGAAATCCAGAGGGTTGTTTTTTCTAAAAAAAAGAGACTGAGAGATGGTTTTGAGAGATGGAGGCAGGGTGGAGTGGAAGCTTTGGGGGAATTTTGGGAGTGTTGGGTGCCCTCTCGGGAAAGTCCTTAGAACCTAAGTAGAAGCTCCAGCTTTGCTGCGAAGTGAGATGAGCAATAGAAATCTAAGGCTACAGACAAAGGACTGATGGGAGGAAGCAATTTTAAAAAGGAGTGACTCTCTAACTCAGGCCTGATACCTTAGGTTTCCAGCCCGGCTTCCACAGAATGCAGGAAGCCAGAAGGACCTGTTAATCTGTTAACGCGGCACAGGAAGAAGCACCTAGGACTGTAGGGAGCAGGTGATCCAGAGCAGGTATCGGTATGGTGAGCATGGCGGTGCCCGCAATGGGCACAGTTTTAGTCTAGATATAGGACTACCCAATCTCCCCTCCGTTTCCTCTTAGCTATCTGTGGTGACAGTTCTCTGCCTCCCGCAACTCAGAACACCGGGTTCCCCATCCCTTTTTGGAGGGTGTCAGCAGCACCTGGACCTTTTTTTTTCTTAAGTGTGAGTGAATGACTCCAATCTCTTGCTCCCACCCATAGGAGTGTACCCCGAACTGGAACTCTGGCCTGAATTCAGCTCTTGCAGGCTTCACCGGGAGGAGCAGGTTCGGGAGGCATCGCCTTGGGAAAACACCAAGACTGCAGAGTACGCGGATCACAGGCAGTGGTGGGGCACGAAATCAAGGCAGGAACCTGAAACTGGGGACTGATTCAGAAAACCACCAGAGAATTCTGTTTACAGGCTTGCTCTCCGTGGTTGTGTAGCCTACTTTCAAAGTCGGCGGTTTCTAATTGGCCTGAGAAAAAGTTCCAGAAAGACTATGTAGGAATGGGCTAGTTGGAAAAGAAGCGAGCTCTGCATCCCCGGGAGTCTGCAAGTCTGGGTTAAAATAACTTGGAGGAGATGTGGTCAGGACTCTGCAGTTTGGAAGACCTGGGGGCTGCGGGTTTATTCCGTGAGGAGGGGGCGGTTGTGCCTCCATCCAAGCTGGCACTCAAGGACACCGCCACCCACTCTCAGTACCACCACTACCCTCTGCCATAGACTCCCCCGTTCTCTTTATTTCGGAGTCTGCAGAGGGAAAACGCAGAAGAGGCCCGGTTCCCCACCCTCGCGTCGCTTCCTTTCCCGCTCCCGCTGCAGCACTTAAAATGTAAATGCACATCGTGATTAGCCGCGGGGTCGCTAATTACAGCTGAAGCCATTCATTACGCTGTCAGCTCGCTCCGTCGCCCGCCGGCTGTGCGCTCCCTCCCGACTGGGGAGGGGTGGGAGCGGAGGAGGTGGTGGTGGAAGAATGCCGGGACTGCGCGTTGCTGGGAAGCCGAAGGCCGGGTACCGGCAGAGGGGCAGTGAGCTGAGGAAATCGGTTGGACCGTGAAGAAACGATGATGGCAAAGGAAGGGGAGAAACGCGGGAGGCAGGAAGAAAGGGGAATAAGAAGTGAAGAGAAAGGGGAAGGGGTAGTGTGAGAGAAGAAACCGGGATGGAAAGAAGGCCAAAGGAGAAAACGTGAGAAATGGGTAGGAACCTTCGGGTAGGGGACGGCCGAAGGTCTGTCGAGGGAGGGCAGAGAAGCTTCAACTTGGGGAAAATGGGTAAATAAAGGTACTATCTTTGTTGCACACGACACCCCAGTTGGAAAGGCAGTCAGGACAGTATGCTGAAAGCGCTGGGTGCCCGCCAAACCCTGCGGATACGTTTGCATATGTAAATGTATTTTTAAATACTTACAAGAAAACTGCACACTGGCATCTGTTACCTCTGCATCCACATCCAGATTTTGTTGCTCTCTTTAAGGAAAGGATTACAAAATACGAATAGGAAATTAAGTAAGCAGAAAGTCTTGGGAAGAGTGTGTAATTGAGGTACTGACCCCACAGCCCAAGCTTCGTTAGCCTCTTTCTGCCTCTTGTGACCTTGCACAATTGACTTAACCTTTGTGCCTTGGTTTGTCACCTGTGAAAGGAGGCTAATTATAGTAACCTGCTTGCTGTGCTCCTGAGTTCTAGGGGCATATTGGCTCTTACCACTTTTCATAAGTTGTGATTAAAATAAAATTTAAAAATTGCAAAAGGAAGGACAGGAATGTAATTTGGTTGGTAAGAGTGCTTGCCTAGCATGCACAAGCCCCTGAGTTTGATTCCCCAGCACCACAGAAACTAGCTGTGTTGGTATGTGCTTGCAATCCAGGCACTAAGAAGGTTGAGATAAGAGGATCAGAAGTTCAAGGTCTTCCTTCTCGATATAGCAAATTCCAGCCATGCTAGGCTCCACAAGACCCCATATTTAAAAAAAAAATATGTAAAAGGCAGATGAGGGGAAACCAAACTGCTTGGGAACAAAAAAATAGAGGTGGGGAAAGCCTTAGATATAGCAGCTTACTCAATATGGACACCAAACCCAGGAGCTTGAACCAGCCTGTTCTCTATAAAGGTGCTTGCCAGGGCACACTGTCCTCTGGCTCCTGGAGCAGGAAAGAAAAGAGGTCCTTAACCTAGTGAAGCAGAGGCAGGCAGATCTCTGTGAGTTCAAGGCCAGCCTACTGAACATAGAGTTCCAGGTCAGCCAGGGCTAGGGCTACCCAGTGAGACCCTGTCTCCAGATAAAAGAAAAAAAAAAGTATTTTGAGAAAAGGTATCAGTTTGTAGTCCTTGCTGGCCTGAAACTCAAAATTCTCCAAATACCCTCTGGATTGATTGCTTCGATGACTAGAATGTGCCATCCATACCTCCTAAAACTCTTTTTGTATTTTTAAACACACATGTGCAGAACTTGATTCTCTCCTTCTACCATGTGTGTTCCAGGGAAGCAAACTCAGATCATCAGGATTGGTGGCAAGCACTTTACCCACTGAGCCATTTCTTTGATCCCCTCCTAAAACATAAATGACTTGAGCCATCCAGGCCGGGAAAGGTATGGGTTGAGAACCAGGTGTGGGCCTCATATATAGGTTCATGCCTGTAATTCTGGAGAGAAGGCAGAAGGATCAGGAGTGTCAAGGTCAGTCTTGGTTACATAGCTAGAAGTCTGGGATACACCAGTCCTATCTCAAAACAAGCAAAAATGGGGGCTCTTCCGGAGAGAGGGATCAGTTAAGAGTACTTGCTGATCTTCTAGGGACTTTTAGTTTGATTCCCAGCATCCATGTCAAAGGGTTCACACTACCTTATAGTATATATGACTATAGCTCCAAAGGACCTGAAGTCGCTGGCCTTCATGAACACTTGTAAACATGTGCACACATGCCCATACAAAGGCATGTAATTAAAAATAAAATAACTTTTTGAGATAGGGTCTTTCTATGTAACTCTGACTGTCCTGGAACTTGCTGTATAGACCAGGCTGGCCTTAGCTCATAGAGGCCTCTGTCTCTGCCTCCTGAGGGCTGGGATTGACGGCATGTGCTTATTTATTTATTTATTTATTTATTTATTTTTTTAAAAAAGAAATAGGGCTGGAGAGATGACTCAGAGGTTAACAGCACTGGCTGCTCTTCCAGGGGACCTGGGTTCAAATCCCAGAACCCACATGGCAGTTCACTACTGTCTGTAACTCCACTTCTAGGGGATCTGACGCCTTCACACAGACATACATGCAGGCAAAACACCAATGCGCATAAAAATAAATAAATCTTTAAAAAAAAAGAAATACATGGATTGGCTTTGTGGTTTTCAGGGTGAGGAAAATGCATTAGATATCTGCTATTGAATAAAAAACGTGCCCCCAAATTTAGCAGCTTAAAACCATCAACATTTATCATGTCACACAATTTCTGAAGGTCAGAAATCCAAGTTCATCTTGAAAGCGTGGACCTCCCGACTCAGCATCTCACCTGAGGTGGCAGGCAGGCTGTTGACTAAGCTAGGCATTAACTACAAGCTTATCCCCTGTATGTTTGTTATGGCCCCCATCCCCTCCACTAGCCCCCTCATTGTGTATCAGAGATGAGAAGAGTGGAGACGAGAGAGAGAGAGAGAGAGAGAGAGAGAGAGAGAGAGAGAGAGGTCTAGTAGTTCAATTAGTTAGGAGGCATCTTAGCCCACATTGAAGGAGGATTAATTCCCTTCTTGAAGGGAAGGTACAAAAATTTATAGATGCCCCCAAACCCCCACAGATCTGGAATGTCTGCAAAGCAGATTTGGGAGGGAAACAGGAATTAATTTGTGGAGACAAAGGTGTAAGTTTCCCTGAATCGGGAAACTGAATTTATTTCCTGACATTCGGAGATCATTTTCACGGACACAAATGTGGTGTATTTTGCAGGGCTCTCCTGGGGGTTCGGTAGGACTACAGATGGCAGAGTGCTATCAATTTAACAGTGCCCTAATGATGCCTAGAGGCAGAGGTGGCCTGGGAGGACAAGGGGCTCTGTCCTACTGGAGTCTAGGCTTCTCCTTGGCCTGGACTCCAGAGTCTCAGGCCCAGAGGCAGTGCTCTG